AAGCAGATCGAGAGATCCATATATTTGTATTCGGAATATGTTGTTTTTGCTCGTGCACTTTTCTGTATTTAAATCTGTTTAAAATATATAATTTATCGTTTTGTTATTAGTAACTTATACTAAGACGCGAAATCAGCTTGCGGTTCATGTGCTTAATGGAGAGAAGATCGTGGGTTACTTACGACGCTACTCCTGTGAAATATTTTGGGCTGACATTGACCTATTTATTGCTTAAGTAAATGGCAAAGTATGTTGGATGAGCGTTTGTTCGTGAGTTATAAAGGATTCCAAGGCCATACTCGTTTTGCTAGCTTCGAATTATATAAATCTGTTCAGGATGTATACAGTCAGGGAAAAAAATGCCTAAAATCAGTGAAAATGTATTGTCTAGCTACTACGTCTAGTATATAAGCTCGATAATTCATTGAAAGCAGTTAATGCGGTGATTTCCGAGCATAATTTTGTATGTGTGTGTATACAACTTAGGGAAGACGTAAAAAAAAAGTCGGGGAATGTATTTTTAAAGCTCTCTATAAATCCTGGTGTTGTAAACTTCTGGTTTAGACTAAAAAACTTAACAGTTTGGTAACTGTACTCTTTCCTACCTAGTATACCTAATTGTAACTGCTATATAGTTGTACCTTTTTATTTACCTCACCATGTTAAGAGGACTGATAGATTCGTGTATTTTGTGATAACCTTCTGATGAAATGTTTTGTTTTAATTAGGGTTTAAAGGCCATTGTACATCTTGCTTTACAGACGTATGCTTCATCGTAACAATATCATTTTTATGACGAAGCTGTATACAAAATGTTGAAAGACCAAAACCAGTAAATATAACCTTGCATGAATTCGTTTGTTTTACTTTGATATGAACCATTTTGCAAGGAATTCGTATACATTTTGTGATAGTTTATCGCGGTTATAAACTAGGGTTTGTCTGAGGCATCATTGTGTGATTTGATAAAAACCCATTTGGTGTTAGAGAACTTTCTGTTCGTCAAGACAATACCAGTAAATATGGCTTACATACACATATCTTCTGTTGTGAAACCGTCGTTAGGAGCTAAATACCACTTTAGTACGTTGTGTTAAAAGGGTTTTGAATATTTAAATCATTGTCATGTAATAGCCGCAGCTGATATAAAGTCGCGGTGGGACGGAATGTATCAGAACTACAATTTGACATTGTTTGGCGTTATGTAAGTAGCGTGATGCCAGCGAAAACTTATTTTTGGAAGTGTATGTAACAGTACCTTCCAATGCGAAGTATTTATACACTCGGATCGTAGACGTGTTCAGGTTTCAGATTTAGAATTTCCAAGACGGAGACATCCCTTTTGCTTAATGACATTATAAAACAAAGGAACATGGTTCAAATTGGGATACCAGAACCATCCACAAAGAGACCTGCAGCAAGACATACCTCAGCTGTGGTAAGCAAAGTTCATGTAACAAGAGAGAATTCACGAACATAAGTCCTCTTTGTGCCCCAGTCAACAGTACGCAAAATGATCAAAAAGGATCTTCGTGTGAAAAGCTGACAAGCCACGTGTGCACATGTTGTTTCTATGACTTATCTGTTGAACAAAGAACGAAACGTAGATTCATGCTATCCCATACGCAGACATACCGTTCAAGTCGTCGGACGAAGCACCTATTTCTGTGCAATCGTACTGTTGAAACGGGGGCTGAAAGCTGTCGTTCTCATACATTAGAAGTATTATAGACAATAAGTAGGGAGGAGTTATGTGCTTTGGACATGACAGTTTTACGACGTTGCCCTTTGCAATGTAAACTTCGCTATAGGGCTTATCAAGATGAATGGTTTCTGATAGAGCTAATTAGAAATGGCGGCATGGACTGTAATAACGTAGTGGGGCTCTAAATTCCTTTGGATACAACATTTTCAACCTCTGTATTTACTTTCTTTATTTTGTCATATGTTTGCAGTAGTGTTTTCATATGGTCCTTCAAGGCTGCCCTTTCACACCCATTGAGAAAAGTAATGATTGAAACACACCCATTATCTTTAACGAAATCATCACTTCTCATTTTAAACTTGTGTATATTGTTAGCCTACACTACCTACACATAACTGAATCGTCTTGTCTTAAGTGGAGTTTATCTTGTCCTCTCGTCCTATATTTAGAATATAACAAAAAGAAATCGGAGACCTTAATCATATAAATCCTCCCGAATAATTTTGTGTTCAACTTCAATAAGATCTATTACCCTTCCATTCTTGTTTGAAACAAACCGAGTGAAATGCTTATTTAACTGATTTTTGGATATTGATTTGGATGCCTAACTCCAATCGATGTCAACCAAATCAGGAATTAGAAACCGAAAATATTTGTAATAGCTGTAAGGCCATAACGGGTGAATGACTTAATATTACTGATTATGCATTTCACTTAATATAGTTCACACCATAACAGTTGTTCATGCAACTGATGTTTATTGCTCCTAAATCACTAGTATGGCTGTAGGAACCCAACCGGCCTGATTGAGCCATGGTTTTGGGCGAAAGACCTTGTTGACACTGGATATGCTGTTGTCATATTTCATTTTATTCTTTGTTTTCACTCATATGTTTAGAATTATTAGCACCGTTGTCAAAAGTAAATTATTTGGTGCTAGTTATAATTTATGATATGTGACACATTTTGAGCTTCAACTTGCCTAATAGTTTGAAGGTCAAAACAAAGTGCAAAAGCTGATACAAGCGTTGCCCAGTTTAGTTACATGAGCTGCAGAGGGCGGTAGTGTAAGCTTGGCGATATTGCACACCAATGTGTAACTGGCTTTTTTTAGTAGCGGATCAATATAATTCCAGACAACTTGCATGCACTAATAAATAACTTCGCTTTGGTAACCAGCTCGCCTAATTATTTGTCGCGTTAGTATGTTGGAAAATGTCAGTTTACGAACAAGAATTGTAATTTGCAAACTGTGAAGTTGGGGGATATTGTTAATTTTTTTTTTTGTTCATATAATTTTAATGTTTGAAAAGTTTTAAAGAAAACTGAAGGATTGTGTTCACCGTTTCGAAACTCTTATCTGTTGCGATAACTTTCTGAGTGGTGCCATCTATTAGAAAACATTTAATAGTTGGTACCATTCAGATTAGAAGTACCCCTCGTAAGGCAATATTTTTAAAAATTTAATTAATCTTTGAGTTGGCGACTGCTAATGTCTTGTAATGAACAGCTTTGTGATATTTAATTAAAATCAGCGTTAAAGGGCTAATATAATAGATTGATATAAAAAGGGGAAAATGTTTTGGTAGTTGTCTTTTCAAAGTATCTAAATATTACATATCAAAGAGGAAATTTTGTGGTATTCAGTTTTGGCAAATGTGGTATCAATTGTTTTGGTACTTTCTCTACACACACAGAAGTCACCCTGAAGATATTTTATGAAGGCATAATTTCACCAGGAAATCATACAATCTGATCTTATGACCAAAACATCAAAATATTTCTTCTCCTTCCAGTGCCCAAAATGTTTTCTACATGTAAAGCATATAACTTATTTTTTTCCCCTGTTATAGCTCACCTTTAACATGAAAAACATGGATGTAGGTGTTGTCAGAGGTACAAAATAAAAAAAAACAAAAACAAACTTGCATTGAAAGTTAGTAGTTTTCATTGTACTACTTTATATTTGAACCAGTTAACTGTTCCTTTGAACCTAGGGTATTATTAGGTCAGATTAAACACAAACTATTAATAATATTTTGATAGGCTGGCACACCAAAGTTTCAAGACCAGTTAGAAATCCTGGATGACAGAAATGCCATTAAAATATATTGTATGTTGTGTTGCAGAGGCTAGTAGTATGATGAAACTTAAATGCTGTACAAATTCAGTTTATATGACTTGCTTTTAAAAATCATTTTGGAAAGAGTGTTTCTAAGTTGATTGAAACCCACTGATGCTGGAAGTTTCCTTGCAGAATTTGTAAATTACTTTATATCTTAGTAAGAATGTAATTCTGTAATGGATCGTTCATGTTTAAGGTCATAATCATTATCCCTTTCAGGAAAAAATGTGGATGTTTTGAAAATGACAAGTTGAGTAAACATATATTTTTAAACTTGTTCTTGCTCCTTTCTGATCTGCACAAGTATAATTGTTTCACAACCCATATTATTAAGTTTCATTGGAGTAGGCTGTATTCACACACTATAGTCAACTCCTTGATAGCAAAGTAGTTCCTGAAATATGAAAATGTTTAGGATAACTTCTGTGAGGAAAAGTTAATAGTAGTAATATAAATTTTCTGAAGCTTGTGGATTTATTTCTCTTGGAAAAAAAAAAAACAACAAAATCTAATATAGGCAGTTTTGATACTCTTCTTTTAAATGTATCAGAGGGTGACTTAATGTATGTTAGAAGTCATGGTATATTTTTGAGTTTCAATATCTTATGATGATTTTAGCATGAGTCTCTTAAATGTTTAGTTTTAAAAGTTCCCTACCTTCAATTTAAATTTTTTTTCCCTTTACAAGTTTTGTAATGTCTTCATATATTTTCTCTGTAGTAGAGGTAACAAGTAAATGCATCAGTATATTTTTCATCATTTACATTACTAAAAAAGATCTTTATTTTATATTACCGTGCTTTTTAAACTTTTTTTTTTTCTAAGATGCTTAGTTAAATACTAAATTTCAAACTGAAACAATACAAAATTTAAGTATGAAAGTGTGGTTACAAGCAAGTTCATGTTATAGGCTATAATCTATTATTCTATTTTTCATTAGTGACATTGTATGTGAGAAGTCACTACAAGACATGGATTGTTGAGAAAAGATTTGTTAATAAATAGTAGTTATTTTACTGGATAACTTTCTGTTTAGTTTTAATCTACTTGTTATGATACTAATAATCCCAAAACTTTGGACTGAGTAGTAACTTTTCTTGGGTTATTAATGTTAAAGAAAATGGATTCAATGTGATTTAGGTTTATCTTTTTTTTTACCTGCTTCCGTAGGAGCGCCTAAACAAAAGTGAGCGACAGAGGTTTCGAGAAGAAGCTGAGATGCTAAAAGGACTGCAACATCCCAATATTGTTCGTTTTTATGATTACTGGGAAGTTAATCTGCCTAAGAAAAAATACTTAGTGTTAATTACAGAACTAATGACGTCGGGAACGCTGAAAACGTAAGCTTTTCTTGATTAAATTCTTATTATGTTAGAAGCTGCACGTACTAATCTTGTTCAATAAAATACTTTTATTGTGAGAAAATACATATTCAAAAGGAAATATGATAAACTTCAATGTGGCTGTTTTTAATACATTAAGTATATGCTAAGAACCTTAATTTGTTTACTCACGAAACAATTTAAACTTTCAGAGTACATTGTTGAAATTTAAGCCATTCCAAGCATACATAGAAAATTAATGTATTTATGATTAGTTTCTAGTTTTATTACAGATTCTTGATCATATGTTAAACTTAAGAAGAGAGAAACATCTGTTAAAAAGAATATGATGTGTAGTTATTAGCTACAGTTGTATGAATGAGTTTATACTTCACAACTTTTAGGTATTTACGTCGATTTAAGAAGATCAACTTGAAAGTCTTGAAGTCGTGGTGTAAACAGATCTTAAAAGGGCTGAGTTTTCTTCATTCTCGTTCTCCTCCCATTATCCATCGTGATCTCAAATGTGATAACATTTTTATTACGGGAACTACTGGATCGGTGAAAATTGGAGACCTGGGACTGGCTACGCTGAAAAACAGATCATTTGCCAAGAGTGTCATAGGTAGGTTACATAATTACATCATCACACAAATACTTCATGTCTACCCAAAATATCTGATTTCAGTTGTAATAGTGAAAACATACATATTCAGCAGTTAAATTTAAAGATATAAATTTTTCCTCTAATTCATAATTTTGAAATTGTTATGAATAAAACAGTTTTGGATTGTTTACATTAAGAAGGAAGGAAAATGAATTTGAAAGTATTATAATAAATTCAAAATGTTCATTGGTGACACACTGATGGATCTCATTCAAAGTAGTGTGGGAGAAAGATCTATTAGTCTTATAAACAGTAATTGTAAATTATATTTCGGTGAGCATTAATGTTTAAACAATTGACAGAATGTTATAATGACCACAACAGGCACTCCAGAATTTATGGCACCTGAAATGTATGAAGAACACTATGATGAGTCTGTAGACGTATATGCCTTTGGAATGTGTATGTTGGAGATGGCCACCTCTGAGTATCCATATTCTGAGTGCAGTGGGCCTGCCCAGATTTATAAGAGGGTTACCAGTGTAAGTCGTGGTTCCTTTCATTACATAGCCTTGTTAAGACCTAGGGTGAGCTGATGACATGCTAAAGTATAGAATATGCAGAGTGAACTTAAATAATTTATTTTTTACATTTAGGGTATTCCACCTCAGAGTTTTGGAAAGATTGAAAATCTAGAACTGAAAGAAATCATTGGTTGCTGCACACGACTTTCGAGAGAAGAAAGGTAAGAAACATACTTTTAAAGCCTTGAAATTGAAGAAACTAAAACATTCTTTGTTCATGATTTAAGAACTTGGTCTTTAAGATGTTAAAAATCAATTAGAATTGTAACTATTAGTGGGTATATAATTTTTTTTAAGTGTAAATGTTTTTTTAAGTCTTCTTTAAAGATAATGTAGATGAAATTTTGGAGAATAGCTAATGCTGGTCAGATTAATGTATGTGAACAAATGACTGAATATTCCATTATTCTTGACTTTGTTGAATGTAAACTGGAGTTGATTATTAGAAATTTGTATTGATATATACTTCCAGAATGTATCTTTACCTCAGTATTTTGCTCTTACCTCATTGTCAGGAGCTGTTGATAACCCATAAGTTTGCTAATCCAGTTGAAACTAAACTGGAACATCGTAATCAGTTAATCAAAAGTTAGAACACATATCTAAAAGGCTAGGATCATATTAAAAATAATACCCAATATTTCTGAACTAAGTTGTTAACAAACTGACATTTTATAAATTTCACTTAATATTCAAACAAACAGAAAAAGAAACCACTATATGAAAAAAAACAAACTATTACATGTTTTATTGGACAAACATTTTACTTTCTTCACAGGAAATTTAAGGAATCTCTTCTGATTCAATCTAAACACCCTTCTATTTACAGAAATATTGCCTGATATCTGTAAAATTATTTAATGTAAGGTATATTTCTGTCTAATTATTTAAATTTATTATTGTTATCAGTGACTCTAACGTTTTTAATAATACTCTAAACACCCTTCACTGTACATATTAATTTATCTATATTTTCAATTACTGTAATATATAATCAGTTTTGTAACCTGCTGATGCTCAAAATACCTTAAAAGGTATAAGTAAAAATGTCAGGTAAAATAATAATTAAAAAAAATCTATGAAGTTGTCATCTTTTTTTGAATGATTGTTGTTTGGTGCAGATAGCTTATTTGCTTTACATCATAAAACACCAACCAACCAACTCTTGAATGTTTGAGATATTTTCTATGATTTAACCTATTATTATAGAAACTGTATTAATGTTCAATTTAACTGACATTGTTCAAGCTTAGATAACTGAATTAAAACTGTTCTAAAATTTGCCAAATTTTGAAATACTTTTCAGAGAAAACATTAGAAAATACTCCTTTTTGTCTTAAGATTTAAATTTTATATTGTTTTTGTTGATCATGAAATTCTACTTGTATATATCCAGTCATTTCAATAGTGAACTATTGAGAAAATAAAGATGTGGAGATATAGATTATTTATATTAATAGAAATGTTAAACATGTCTAATACTTAACGAAATGTTAAGGTAACTACAGATTAACCGTATTATGACTGTGAGCACTTTCCAGGTATTGAGTGCACATCTGCTTATCAAATTTCAAAATTTAAGAATTTCTTAATATCAATTCTGAACTATTTTGAGTTTGTAATTTTGCAGCATTTGTGTAATTTCCAAAGAAAAAAAAAATAAATATTTTTAACTTGCATTTCTGTACAGCTCCTTGTATATTATAAACAATGGAATTAATTTTTTTATAATTTTTTCTGCCATTCCAAAGCATAGGTTTTTACTTGCTAAGAAACTATCATCCTTAAAGAATACATTTAACTAAGATGTATTTCTGTCGTGAATTACCTTCTCTGTTTCCAGAGTTGTTGTTATTATTATTACTATTACAGGCTTCTGCTCACATCAGATGCTGTGAGGTCGTAAAAGGGGTGGGATGTATAAGAACAGCTTTGAAAATAACAATAGGCAAAGTTTAAATACTTTTGTATGGAGCAGACTATTAACTAGTTACAACAATGTAGAGTGAATTAAGTGGCATGAGAAATTCTTGATGGTTTTGTGAGAAAATGATTAGATGTAGCTCCTGGAGGACTGAATTTAGTGTGAAATTTAGAAGACTTGACAACAAATCACAGCTCAGATTTTTTATGGTTTTTTTAAGTGTTCTTTTTGTTCTTGAAACTGTTTTTGCATTAAATTATATTCATTTGAAATTTATGATAATTTTCGTCTGTGACAAGATATTAAGTTTAGAGTATGATAGTGACAACAAGATATTCTGGTGATTAAAGTGAGACTCAAAAACTAAAATACAACTTTTTTTTTTCAGCCAAAACTAGATACTATTTAATAAGTTTAAGTTCCATGCAAATTTGGTTCAGTATTTTTTTTTGTGTGAAGGAAAATACCCCTGATATAGTATAGGCTAATGGTAAAACATAGAAGTAGACCATCCATCTGCATTAAGTGATAAAATGCTAATGTGTGTTCATTTGTAAAGACAGATAGAGAAATGTTGATGTGTAACTCTTTAACTATGGTGGAAAACTTGTACATGCTAGGAAATGTTTTTTAATCTTTGAACCCAAGAACTTGTAACTAATTTGGGGTGTAAGAAGATTGTATTGCATGCAATAAAACTATTGAGTAATTATATTTATTTTATAAATTTCAAGATCTTCCCCCACATGCACACGTACATGTACAATCCCATTCTTTCCTATGGATATATTATGAAGTTGAATTAAATATCAACTCTATTTTTGAAAGATAGCAAGGTAATTTTCAAAAATAGGTGTTTTTTAATAAATACTTGAAGGAATTGGTTTCAAAATCAAAAGTTAGATAATTTTTTTAACTTAATTTTTTGTATATATAAACTTGTTTAGAACAATTGAGCTTATTTTTCTGTATGTGTAGATAATCTGTTTTGTTCCCATTTCTTTGACTAGTATTTTTATATTATAATGAATCCATTAATAACTTTATATTTATTCAGGATGAATTATTGTGGTATATATTATGAACATCATAATTCATATTTGTTTTAAACAGTAAGCATTCTATGATCTACTTGCAGATCAACTTCATGTGTTTCAGTATTTTAATATGTCAGTAGAGCAATAAAATATTGTTATTTACAGGCCTACTGTAAAGGAAATGCTCCAGTTGGACTTCTTCCAGGAGGATCTAGGTGTGAAGGTCGAATTTGTGAACCGCGAGAAAAACGTCACAAGCAATGATCCCAAAGTTGAACTACTGTTAAGAGTTCTAGATCCCAAGAAGAGGAAAGACAAGCATAAAGAAAATGAGGCTATTCAGTTTGAGTTTGATATTGAAAATGATGATCCTGAAGAAGTTGCTCAGGCTATGGTAAATTTTTATATAGAATTTTTGTGACATTTTGTTAATATTAGTGTAAGTTTATTAATTCACATGCTAATGATTGGCTGTGTTCAGAGAATCTTTCTATTGGTGACTCATTGTAGTATTTTTCAGCATTAACTCTTTAAACCTGAGAGGATGTTGCCAGTGTCTGGACAAAATTCCTGATTTACCCATGAGATAGTGACAAAAAGTATAAACATTTATACAAGGCTAGTTCATATGAGTAATCCAGCACAACAGGTGTTGACTTAATGTGTTTAGTCTCAGGTCATTTATAAAAGCATACTTTAAAAGTTGTATATTTAATGTTACTTGAATTTAGGAAGTTTGTAAAAATGAACTGTTAAAACCATACATTAACACCATCTACACTTTAGTAATAAAACTAAATGGCATTGACATATTTTTTTATTGTTGCTTGTATTTTAATCATCTTTTAAACAAGTTGGACTCAATCTTTTCTGATGATAAACAAGAAATGTTTAGCCAAAGAAACATTTGGCTTAGCAGCTTGCATCATAAATGTGGATAAATTATCCTTTGCTTATATTTCATTTCTAGTAACATTCACAAAGTGGTAAGGGGAGGATATAAATTGAAAGAAAATTTACATAATAATGGTGCAGTGTAATAAAACTTAGCCAGATCAACTAGATTTGGTTCCATTTTTATTTAAATGTATATTTGAATATTACATAAAGCTCTGGAAAAATCTATAGTAATAGTGTGTTCTGTGTTTCATGGTTTGTAATGTTAACGAAAATTGTGTATTTCAGCAAATGACAGGAATTATTATGGAGGAAGACATGAGAATTGTGGCTCTGGCCATTCGCAATCAGATAACATCTTTGAAAAGGGAACGACAACATCAACAGTCACAGACCCAAGCAGAACAGATGCAACAAGCTTCACAAAAACCCCAACAGCTAACTTCCCAACAGGTTGCTGTGCAACAACCACAGGTACATCAAGGATATTCTAAACAACCTGTGCAACAACAACAGGTACATCAAGGATATTCTAAACAACCTGTGCAACAACCACAGGTACATCAAGGATATTCTAAACAACCTGTGCAACAACCACAGGTACATCAAGGATATTCTAAACCACCTGTGCAACAACCACAGGTACATCAAGGATATTCTAAACCACCTGTGCAACAACCACAGGTACATCAAGGATATTCTCAACAACCTGTGCAACAACCACAGGTACATCAAGGATATTCTCAACAACCTGTGCAACAACCACAGGTACATCAAGGATATTCTCAACAACCTGTGCAACAAGGGCATCCTTGCCAAATGCAAGTTATGCAGGATCTTCCTCAGCAATCACACACACAACCAGGAATTCAACAAGGACATTTTCAACAACCACAAGTACAGCAGGGGCATACTCAACAACCACAGGTGCAGCATGTGCAACAAACATTTCCTTCAGGTTGTTCTCAACAGCAAATACAGAATATTCAGTCACAAGAATCAGAAATATATTACAAGCAATTTCCAAATTTCCAGCATCAAGGTCAGATAAACCAAATTCAACAACAAGGTCTGATTCAACAGCAGTCGACACAAATACAAGAACAATTAAAGTTACAGGAAGTCATTGAAACTAAAACTTTGAAACAACAACAAACCCAGGTTGAGATAGAAGACAATTTTTCAACCAGCGTAACATCTAGTTTTACCTCAGAGCTAAGAAAACATGGTAAGTATGATTTTTGTTTCATTCTCTATCAACTAATTAATATAGTAATAAAGGTTAAAAAAAAAAAAATTAATGATAGTCCAGTTCTAGTGATCTGGTTAAAGAAAGTTTGTTTAAAAAAAGTGGATTAATACTGTTGTGTAATATTTGTGGTGTAATTTTATTGATCATATTATATTAAGTCCCTAAAATTCATCACCTGTATATAGACTATTTCATATTTTTTCAAAAATAAATCTTATTATTTCTTTTATTTTGCTTTAAAGTACTTGTATTTTCCAATTTTATTATTTTTGTTTCATTTTGAATTTGCTACTTACATTTGTAAAAAAAAATTGGATGCGATATTATACGTATATCATAATTTTATTATTCATTATGTGATGTAATGTGAAGGTAAGGAGAAACAAGTGCAAATTATCAGTTTTTTTGTGCATTAATCTACACAGAGTATTGGATTCTTTTTGAACTTTGCTGCAGTACTTTCAGTAGTTGCATTTTTAACATGTGAAAACATTGATAGCTGTATTTTCATTAATTCATATACTTAATGTCAGGTACTCGATTATCTACTTACATTGAATGGTTTTTCTGAAGATGTTTTAATCTGGATAAATTTTTATGGTTTACATTGGAATATTGTGACATCTTGTAGTGTTTAATCGGGATCAATTTTTATGGTTTACATAAGAATATTGTGACATCTTGCAGTGTTTAGTCGGGATCAATTTTTATGGTTTACATTGGAATATTGTGACATCTTGCAGTGTTTAGTCGGGATCAATTTTTATGGTTGACATTGGATTATTGTGACATCTTGCAGTGTTTAACCTGGATCAATTTTTATGGTTTACATAAGAATATTGACATCTTGAAGTGTTTAATCTGGATAAATTTTTATGGTTTACATTGCAATATTATGTGACATAATTATAGTATTTTGGCACTTGTATATAAAGTTAAAATCATAAATAATATTCAGTCTTAAACTGGTACACAATTAAAAACATTTTGTCAACTTTTTGAAGGCCATAGATAGGCCTAAATAAAATGTTTTTAATTGTGTACCAGTTTAACATTGAATATTATATATGATTTTAATTATGTGACATCTTGCAATGTGCATACTTGTAAGCATGTTTTTTGTTTACCATAAAGTAATTTAATTTACTTTATTTTCTAATATTCAGAAATGTTATATAATTAAAATTTTAACATTAACAGACATGTCACTAACAGGAATGTTGTCCTAAAGGTATTAGAATACTTTGAATAACTACAGAAGATATACATGCAGTTTGTTTTTAAATGTTTTCAGGAACATAGTTATACAAGTTTAATTTACTGATTCATAAGGAGTTTTGACATAATATTGTTTTGTAATCTATATTACATAGCGAGCACATGGTATTTATTTATCAAATAATTTCTGATGCAAAGTTTTATTGTCTCGTGACCTGTGCTACTCTCCTATTTCTTTTAATAGAATTTTATTGCTAATTTATAGTCTACTGCGTCACAGTCTGTTATGCATAGTTGACCCACATTGTGGCTCAATAATGACACTTCTGGCTATCCAAGACAATTTTGTTTTTTGTAGTCTGGCTTTGGAAGTAAATATCTTCAATATAAATTGTCTAGTAAGCAATTTCCTCAATGTAGTTGATATTTGCAAAAATTTTCAATGAAAAAAGTATGACTTTTCAAATTATATTTCTGAGACAGTTCAAGGTTTTCTGACAGGCAGTATATTTTGCCTTCTCTAATAGCTCAATTATATAATATAGTATTTTTAGATGTGAATGAATAAGGGCAGGAATGATTTGTATTTAACTGTTCAACTCGTGTCATGGAAACAAACAAGAAATGTTAAATTTAATGGTGGAAAAGAATCAAATGAAATTGTATACTTATGGTTGATAAATATATATTAGACAAATGTGTGTGTTCAAATAAAGTATATAAAAAAAAAGTTAAATGTTTTATATGAATTAAAATATTTTAGGTTAGTTAAAAGTTTAACTTTTACTATTTGAGTGTTTATTGTGAGATGTTGTCATGTAACCTGCTTCTCAGGGTAGATTTGTGATTCCATTATGTAGAATATGAACTGTAACGGTTTCAAAGTAAAAAGAAAAAAGGGGTATGTTTTTTATAAAATTTTTATGTACATAAAAGTAAAGATATAGTATTTTTTTTTACAAGTTGAAGGCCCTCCTGATAATGTTTGTCAAGTAGCACCATCAGATGGCTCAGTTATAAAACAGGAAGATAGTCAGGTGTATTTCAGTACTCTACAGCCATCTAGTGTGGACCAAGGAAAGCAGGTAAAACTTTATCTTGGATAGTTGATAAGGAATGCAGATATCTAAATAAGAGGGTAATTTTGAGTTTTTGTTTATTTTTGTTTTTCAGTGCCTAAATTGAAATACAATTTAATTTTTTTTCCATGCACTTGCTTAAAGAAGTATATATTTTTAAACATGCTGTATAATGGAGAGGAAAATATATTGACCATTTTTTTTGCACCATATTAAGTACGTGTAGAAGATTTTTTGGATGCAATATTTTCTTTTTATATGTTAAAATCTTCATTTTCTCCTAAGTATACAGATAAGAAAAGTAATGACAAAGGGTATTTCTGATTAATGAGATTTGGTGGTATGGATAGTAGGCAATCTGTTCTACACTTGTCTAATTGTAATAAATTATTAAATTGCATATTTGAAGTAGAATAAAGAATTTTCATAAGGGAAAATAAATTCAGTAAATAAAACTTGTTTAATAAACTTCAGTTCTGTAGTATGAAACACCAAAAAATTTGTCTTTGAAATACAAACTTAACAGCTGACTACTGTTCATAGGAAAGTGTTCCAGATCAAGACACTATTCAGACCCAGACGGGGGATACTCCATGTGATCCTACTAGGGGAATTGAAAGGTAAATCATGTTGTAACAGAAGGTAATTATTTAACTAATTAAAATCAAGTGGTATTACAGCCGTGAATGAAATGAGTATCTGTATAATGGTTATTAACAATGTTTAGAATGAATTGTAGTTCTGAAGAGTGTGACATGCTACTTCTCCTTTACCTATTAATAGTCAGCAAAACATTTTTACAGTAACTAGCATGCTTGTAATATCACTAAACTATGAGTAACTACAAATAGCCAAATGTTTTAAATAACATATACTGGATGAATTTCAAGAAGGTTGAACAGTCTCATTCTATTAGTTTTGAAGGATAGTGATAAATACTGAATCTATTCTTGTATTATTGGGTAAGTTGTATGAATATTTATTTGCGTATAAAGTAATGAATGCATAGAAATATGCCAGTTTTTCATTTGATGCTCTTTAGCTTTATTAGGACAATCTTTAAAGATTCTGTTGTGATTGTTTTTAGGTCGAGTCTAACAAAGGGCATCAGTTAGTGAAATTTTTATGTACTCATGTATATGGGGTTTGCATATCTTGCAATGGAAATGTTCCTGGATTGAGTTTACATTGCAAGTTTTAAAGAACTTCAAACGACAAGTTTAGTCTCAAGTGTTACAAATGTTTAATTCAGTGCATCATATTTCTTTTCTGTAAGGAGTAGTAACTCCTAGAATTCTATAATTGGGAGTAATTTAAAATTTTTTTTGCAAAAGTGCAGCAATAACATTTTTGTGATAAAAACCAATTTAACTAATTATGAATTATTTTATTTCAAAAGGTGAAGTTTGGTACAGGATTAATTTAGTAAATTAAATCACCAGATCATAGTCTTAATGTATAAATTATGACAACGTTTTATATTTTACACAATTTTACTTAAATGTGCATTTAATAAGTGTTTTTAGGAATGCTCATGCAGTTGTAATTTGTTAATAATGCTATTATTAAGATGATTTGAATTAGGGGTTGGATGTAGTTAATGGGCTTGTACTGCAAAAGCATCTAATGAAAATGTAATTTTCTATACTTAATTTCAACAACAAATATTAGCAGTCTCTCTAAAAATAGGGGAGAGGACACAAACCTGAAACCTCCTTTAGCAAATGAATTGCCATGTTTAGCTTCTGTGCAGATTGTGCTGTAAAATCTTCTGTATGTCTGTCATTCTGCAACACCAAAATCTCTTCGCCATCCCCTGTCAAATCAATTACAAGCCAACTGAATTTTGCTTTTCAGTTATCAGTTGTTCTTTTTTTGAGTGAGACCTCATTGTGTTTTCAGTTTTTGGTAGTTAATATTTTTTCAATATTTAGTAGAATCATGCCAATAATATCTTTGCAGATTGTTTTTTCAGCAGAATCTACATTACCGTCAAGTGGCTTGAAATAGTTCAAAATGCTGTGTGGTTTTCCAGCAGCCATGACAGTCTGTTACTCCTCATTGTACTGCAGTTACGTCAAAGTGTTGTTTTCTTTTTGTTTTTAAAAAATTAAAGGAGGGCCTAGTATCATTTTAAAACAAACTGGACAGTAATTGGTTATGAAGTAAATGGATCATTAACGAGTGCACCAATAGAAACTTTTGGCAGTAAAAGAGCACTTAGTTTTCCAGCTGTACTGTGTGAACTGTGCAGAACTGCAGAAAGCTACAAGAATGTGCCTATTAATTACTGTACTACTGTTAAAGTAGCAGTGGCTGTATTTGTTTTTCTACAGCAGTAGAGCGACTTCTCAATATTGTTTTAATGCTGTGAATAGCTGATTTTTTGGTCTGAATTTATGCCATTATGCCCCTTATCTGGAGCACTGTATAATGAAAAATTGACTTTGTATCTTTGTGTTAATAAGCATAGATATTGACCTGTGTCAGCTGATCTTCTTATAGTTGTTGGGGTATGATTAAATTATAGTGGATATGCTTTACTAATAACATTCACCCAAACAACAATGTCACCATGTCACTCAAGCATGTTTCATCCAGTTTATTTATTCAATAAAATGTGATTTTCAGTGAAATGTGGCTAACTGAAATCTCATACACTTGCATCCTAGTGATGAAGAAAGTCTAACGCATGCTTTAGCTATGAGTGTTTGATAATTAGATCTAATGTTAGGCTTAATGACTGTGCCTTAGATAAAGAAGAGCATTTCATGGAATAAAAAGAAAAATGAGTTGATGTGTTTGTGGGTAAATACTGCTTAATGGTTCATATTTTCAAAAATAAAAACATTACTTTTGATATGTGCTTTTATATTTGCCAGAATGAAGTTTATTTTAGTTGTACACATTACTCTTTTTACAAACAGCAATATAACTATTTGACTAGATCTAACCTACTAAATTTTTGACACATTCACAATATGTATCTTTGCTTGCACAAAGTGTACTTTAAATAATCCATTTTTCTTACTAGTTATAACAACAAACGTTCGTAGACTCCCTTCACATAAGTGCAAGCATTATTATATTAATATAACTCTTAAAATGATTTGTAAGCCTAAATTTTTGCTCTTGGAACTGCACTTAAATTAACAATAATATTTGTTAAAAAATTGTTTACTTTGCCAGTTTGATCTATGTGATCTGCTGCTACATTTTTGGTTTTGGATGACATTTTCTTAGTTTTTGTGTATCATAATTTCACTAGCATCTATTTACCATTATTGAAAAAAAAATTAATACAAATACTGAGATAAAAAAAAAAAAGATTAAGTTCTCAAAAATTTGTTTTGTAAAAATACTTGAAGTTTATTACATATATATGTCAATGATACTAAATAGACAACTTCTCGGAGGATTTGTATATTGATATGCAGATGTGTAATTAATTATTGTTGGAAGCTAATTACTCTGTTCATGGAGAATTGAATATATTAACTGACAAGTTCGTATCAACTTAATGCAGTGAAATATTCCTAGTAAATAGTTTGTACACCTCTTGAAGAAAAGCATATAGTTTACCCTTAATTTCCATACAAAATTTTTTTTTTCAGATACTTGTGAACATTTTAAGTAAATGAATTACTATTTTTGTAACAATTAAATGAAATGCTTTAAATTTGCATGTATATTAGATTTTATAGTGGAATGTTACCTACTAAAAGATTAAGATTTGTTAGTTGTTTTTAAAGTACTTATGAAAACTTTAATAAATCTTATGAAAGTAGCTTTTTTTGTTATAATTCATACATGGTATTAACTAAGATGATTTTGTTTTCTTCTTTCTATTTTTATTTGCTAGCCTTTCCAGCAATGTGGACCCTGCCATTGAACAAGTTGACATTTTGTCTGATGCTAAACATCCTTCAAAAAAGAAATCTGGTAAACGCAGAAAAACTCAAGACAGAGGTCCAAGACTTACTGTATTAAGTGTTGAGTGTAGTGTTGTTGAATGTCTTTTGGAATCTGTAAAAAAAACAGTGACATTCAAATTTGACATTGGAGATGTTGTTCCTGAAGAAATATCTAACAACTTAGTAAGTTCTTAATTAGATTCAAATTGACCTTTAGTTTCTATACAATAACTTCTAATATGTTTTGTGTATCTTCACAAAATTTTGCAAGCTTTCTGTAAGCATTGTCATATGTAGACAAAAGAAATCTGAATTTTTAAGGAGGTATTTTCAATAAAAATTTCTCCATGAGTATATGGAGACTGACAACTCCAACGTGCAAAGTGATTTTCAAGATTAATAACACTTTCCTTCATCTGAAAAATCTCAGATTTCATTTGCTTAATCTTTAAAACCGCCTAAATATATTTCAAACGTTTTCTTTTTCATTAAAACTTTATATTTTATTTTCTCTATCCTAACTTTATACTGACCTCGTAACCACCAAAAAAAAAAGAATCTAAATAAATCTAAATTTCCTTTTTTCTTTCTTTCTAGAATGACTTCAAATTGTAACATGAAATTACATTTGTTGATCCT